TTAACTGACAGATACAGAACCTTTCATCCCAAAGAAGCAAAATACACATTCTTTTCAAATGCACATGGAATATTTTCAAAGATAGACCACATGATAGAACACAAAACAAGCCTCAACAAATTCATGAAAATCAAAATCATAATAAGCACTTTCTTGGACCACAAGGGCTTGAAACTAGAAACCAATCTCAAGGAAAAAACTCAAAACCATTCATACTCAAGGAGACTGAAAAGCATGCTATTAAACAATGAATGGGTCAATAATGAGAACAAAGAAGAAATAAAAAAAAGTTTCTGGAAACAAATGAAAATGAACACACAATAGTCCAAAACCTATAGGACACAGAGAAGGCAGTCGTGAGAAGGAAGTTCATTGCCACACAGGCTTACCTAAAAAAGATATAAACATTTCAAATAAATGACCTAAGTCTCCAGCTTCAAAAACTGGAGAAACAACAACAAACAAAGTCCAGAGCAAGTAGAAGGAAGGAAATGAGATCAGAGCAAAACTGAATGACATAGAGTCTAAAAGAACAATTCAAAGGATCAACCAATCTAGGAGTTGGTTCTCTGAAAAGATAAAACAAATCAACAAGCCTTTAAGCAGACTCATCAAGAAAAAAAGGGAGAGGACCTAAAAAATAATATCTGAAATGAAAGAGGAGAAATAAGAGCTGATACCACAGAAATACAAAGGATTGTAAGAAACTACTATGAATAATTATATGCCAAGAAATTTGAAAACGTGGGTGAAATGGACAAATTTTTAGAAACATATAATCTTCCAACTCTGAATGAAGAAGCAGCAGAAACCTGAACAGACAAACACCAGCTGGTGAAATTGAAGCAGTAATAAAAAAAAACTCCTGGCACAAAAGCCCTGGACCAGATGGTTTCACAGGAGAATTTTACAAAATATTTAAGGAAGAGCTAACCCCTGTCCTTCTCAGACTATTCCAAAAAATCCAAGAAGATGAAAGAATCCCAAACTCTTCTAATGAGGCCTAAATTATCCTAATCCCCAAACCAGATAAAGACACCACAAAGAGAGGAAACTACAGGCCAATATTGCTGATGATCACAGATGCTAAAATCCTCAAAAAAGTATTGGCAAACCTCATCCAGCAATGCATTAAAAAGATCATCCACCTTGATCAAGTGGGATTCATCCCAGGGATGCAAGGATGGTTCAATATTCACAAATCATCATATACACAAATATTCAATAAATCACATAAACAAAAGGAAAGACAAAAACCACTTGATCATATCAATAGATGTGGAAAAATCATTTGATAAGGTACAGCACCCATTTATGATACAAACACTCAGCAAAGTGGGAAAAAAATGGGCAAACCTCAACATAATAAAGGCCATATATGGAAAACCTACAGCCAACTTCATACTCAACGTGCAAAAATTAAAGCTTTCCTATTAAGATTGGGAACAAGACAAGGATGTCTGCTTTCACCACTTCTATTCAATATAGTACTGGAAGACCTAGCCACAGCAATCAGACAAGATAAAGAAAGAAAAGGCATCCAAATTGGAAAGGAGGAAGTAAAACTACCATTGTTTGCACATGATATGATAGTGTTCATAGAAAACCCTGTAGACTCCACCAATAAACTGCTTGATCTAATAAATGAATTTGGCAAAACAGCGGGATACATAGTCAGTATTCAGCAATTGGAGGCATTTTTGTACACCAACAATGAAATATCAGAATCAGAAATCAGGAAAAAAAATCTCATTTACTATAGCAACAAGAAAAATAAAGTACCTAGGATAAACTTAACCAAGGAGGTAAAAGACTTGTATACAGAAAACTGTACAACACTGAAGAAAGAAATTAAGGAAGACACAAATAAATGGAAGCATATAACAAGTTCATGGACTGGAAGAACTGACATCATCAAAATGTCCTTACCACCCAAAGCAATTTATAGATTCAACGCAATCCCTAGTAAAATATCAATGGCGTATTTCACAGACATTAAAAAAACTTTCAAAAAGTGTATATGGAACCATGAACGACCCCGAATAGCTGCAGTAATTTTGAGAAAGAAGAACAAAGTAGGAGGGATCACAATATCGGACATTAAACTATATTACAAGGCCGCTGTAATCAAAACAGTCTGGTACTGGCATAAGAAGAGACAGATAGATCAATGGAACAGAATAGAGAGCCCAGAAATAAACCCATGTCTTTATCGTCAATTAATATTTGACAAAGCTGAAGAAGCATAAAATGGAGTAAAAATAGCCTCTTCAGTAAATGGTGTTGGCAGAGTTGGACAGCTACATGCAAAAAATTGAAATTTGACCACCAACTTACACCATACACAAAAATAAACTCAAGATGGATAAAAGACTTAAATATAAGTTGAGACACCATGAAAGTTCTAGAGGAGAACATAAGCAGGAAACTCTCAGATATCCCACACAGCAATATTTTCACAGATATGTCCCCTACAGCAAGGGACATAAAGGAAAGAATAAACAAATGGGACTTCATCAAAATAAGAAGCTTCTGCATGGCTAAAGAAAACATCAGTAAAATGAAAAGGGAACCAACCATATGGGAAAATATAATTGCCAATGATACCTTGGACAGGGGTTTGATCTCCAAAATATATAAAGAACTCGCACAACTCCATGCCAAGAAGACAATCAATCCAATTAAAAAATGGGCAAAGGACCGGAACAGAAACTTTTCCAGGGAGGACATACACAGGGCCCAGAGACGTGTGAAAGGATGCTCGTCATCACCAGCCATCAGAGATATGCAAATTAAAACCACAATGAGATAGCAGTTCTCACCAGTCAGAATGGCGATCATAAACAAATCAACAAACAACAGGTGCTGCTGAGGTTGTGGAAAAAAGGGAACCCTAGTACACTGTTGGTGGGAATGCAGACTGGTGGAGCCACTGTGGAAAGCAGTTTGGAATTTCCTCAAAAAGCTAAAAATGGAAATGCCTTTTGACCCAGCATTTCCACTGCTGGGATTATACCCTAAGAATCTCCAAACACCAATTCAGAAGAACCTATGCATCCCAATGTTCAAAGGAGCACAATTTACAATAGCCAAGTGCTGGAAGCAACCTAAATGCCCAACAGTAAATGAGTGGATCAAAAAACTGTGGTACATTTACACAATGGAGTACTACGCAGCAGAAAGAAAGGAAGAGCTACTACTCTTCGCAACAGCATGGATAGAACTGGAGAGCATTATGCTAAGCGAAATAAGCCAGGCGGTAAAAGAGAAATACCATATGATCTCACCTATAAATGGAACCTAATCAACAAAACGGACAAGCAAGGAAAATATAACCAGCAACATTGAAAGAAAAAACAAACCGACAGTGGGGTGAAGGAAGGAGGGAAGGGGGTAACCGGGAAAGGAAAGGGCATGGTAAAGTCAAGGAACACGTATAAAAGACCCATGGACAAAGCCAAAGTGGGGAAGGATTGAGGGAGGGAGGTGGGAGAGGGGGACAAGGGAAAGTACTGGTGGGAAAATGGAGACAAATGTATTTGAACAATAAAAAAAAATGAATTAACAAATAGATGGGACATGCCACAGGGGCTGGAAAAGCTTCTGTGGACAAAAAAGCTGTCTGTAATAAAACTGATAAGTCCAGTGATTGAAAGTCACCTCCCAGGGTGATCTGATCACAAATTTCTAGCTGGGCAGGTCCTGGTGGGTAGACATGTCCCAGGCTTATAACTTCTTCAGTGAAAGGTTTATCTTGGCCTTAAGCAAGCCCTGTCCATTGTTCTGGTGCACCCAGGTTAACACACCTGTGAAAGGCCAGAGTCATCCTCCTTTTCAGACCCCTCAGAGGCTTGCTGCCCTCAGGGGAGCACGTAATCTTGTTTGCTATCCCGTACCTTAATGTCTCTCACCTTCCTGTAATCTTCCTTACTGTTCCCTCTTTAATTTCAAATGTATAAAAGAAACTGAAAACTGCCTCTCTATGGAGCATTTGAGATCTGCTTCCTGGCATTATGGTCAGTTTGGCTCAAATAAACTCATAAAAATTGTTTTCAGGTTTGGACACTCCCAGTGGCCAAAGTTGGATGGGTTGGGGTAGAGAATAAATAATGTGTTATTGGGTTACAACTCAAATACACACCAGTCCACACAGGTAGAAATAAATGATTCAGGAGATGCACAAATGGGGCACAGACAAACCTTCCTTACAGGAGGGTTCCAGACAGCACATGACCCCTCTCCCCTGCCCTCCACCCTGAGAGCGTGGGCTGGACCTGGTGACTCGGCTCATGATACAGACCAGGGAGGAGATGTGGTGACCTTGCAGTGGAGAATCCCAACATGCAGCAAGCACCGCCACCAAGTGTGGGAGGCCAGCATCACAGGCAGCGCACGTGGCCGCCGTGTGTGATGCGATTAGGAGGGCACCTCACTTCTGTGCTCTCCTTTCCCAAACCATGTCATCTGTGCACACCTGAATGGGCACTTCCTGTGAGACGCGTGACCAGCACTGTGAGACCGTCAGAGTCCTCCAAAACAAGGGCTGAGACACCGTCACAGCCCAGAGGAGACTAGGGAGACAGAGTAACAACACAGTGTGGTCTCCTGAATGGAGTCGAGAACAGATAAAGGTCACCAGGAAAAAAAAACCAATGAAATCTGAATAAAGTGTTGCATTTAGTTAATAGTAATGTGCCAGTGTTGGATTCTTAGTGTGACAAATTGTCATAGTGATGCAAGATGGTAACAACAGAGGAAACTGGGTCAGGAGGATAGGGGAACTAATTCTGTGTACTATCTTTCTGCAACCTTTCTGTAAGTCTAAACTGATTCTAATGTAAGTCAACATTAAAAAGTTGCTTTTTAAAATGCTTATATAATTCTTGCCGGGTACCTCGAGGAAATGTGACCTAAGACACCGAGGCACAGCTAATTGCACTGCAGAGAGCTGGGAAGCGCCCGAGCCAGGGTGCATGCGGGAGGCTGGCGGTGTCTCTCACCTGTAGCTGCAGGGCTCGGCCCCAAACAGGCAGGCCAGGATCAGCTGCTCGCCTGGGGAGCCCATCTTCACCAGCTCCTGGGCTGGCACCTGTGAGAAGATGTTGGTGGCCTGCAGGGTGTACCACTCTGTCACGGCTTGGGTAGCACTGGTGAAGTTTCGGAAGGTGCACATGGTCCCGTTGAGGCAGCACTGCGGAGACCAAGAGGGGTTCCTGTGGGTGCGGAGGCTGCTGGCAGGGCTGCAGTCACGGTCCCAAGGGCAAGGGCTGAGGGTGCTTGGCCAGCTGCCCTTCCTCTGGCTGTACCCTGGGGCTGGGCCGTGGGGACCTGTGTTTACACTCATGCTCACACGAGTTCAGAGGCTGCCCCTCAATACGCAGCTGCATGGTCACAAGGACTCGCACACACAGCACACCCTCCCCCGCCATGTAACCGTAAGCACAAGTGAACACTTGCACATGCCTATATGCACACGTTTGCACATATACACACACATACAGAGAAAGACATCCACTTTCTGATATCCCCAGTCACATGATATCATGGTCACAACTACGCATACACATATCCTTACTTGCCCACAAGCCTATATATCTAGATTCACACTTGGCACCACACTCAGACTTATGTGAGCACACATGTACACAGATATACTCTGACCCTCCGATTCCCTGGCTCCTTTCCAGCCTCTTCCCAAGACCTCCAGTGGCAGCTGCCTGTAGCTCATATGAACCACAAAGGACTCCAGACTCTGCCTCTGGACCCGGGCCTTGTCAGTCTGAGCCCACCGAGGGATGCAGGACCCTCCACCTCGCCGCAGCTGGCCCACCACAAGGTCATCACACAGACAGAACTGGCTCTGCTCTGGGACTCTGGTCTTGACCTCTCTGCCTCTATTCATCCTCATCTCATAGTGGGCCTTCTTTCTGAGTCCAGGAGGCCAGAAGAAGCTTCTCCTTCCCAGGGCGGGCCTGCGGCAAACTAACCTCAGGTCTGTTGCTGGAAGCCTCCTGGTCTTCCCTTGGGGAGAAGATAATACCTTAACACTCACTCTGGCCCAGGCTCTGTTCTCAAGGCTTTAATTTATGATCCCACTCAATTTTCACAGCAACCCTACCCTACCAGTATGAATAAATCGAGGCCCAGAGAGGTTAGTACAGTGTGACAGCAGCAGACTCTCGCTCCCACTAAATGTGGGAGCACGTACAACATACACACACACGTGTGCATGCACACAAGGGCTTGCCCTGAGAGCTGGTGCAGCCACCAGGGACAGGCCTGCCCTGCTGATGAGAACATGGACACAGGCAACCAGGTAACCACTGCGAAGTAGTCGGGCACTGAGTTCGAGCTGGCAGCAGGACTCTGCAAGCCTCATGCTGTGTGCAGGTTTATGTGGAGATGTTGGGCGAGCCCTGACCCCATGGTGGCATGGGAGGCAGTGGCCTCTCTCTGGGGAGTGTATGGCCCCAGACTGGGCCCCCAACCAAGGGTGGTCATCAGAATTACCAGGGAGCTTGTTAACAATACCGACTCCTGAGCTCTGGCCCAGAGCTGCCCATTCAGATTCTATAGGCGTGGGGCCCAAGAATCTGTAGTTACAGTGCTACTCAGGGCATCTCCAAGAACCGACAGGTGCCTCCCAAGGCAGTGCAGTTATACTCCGGCACTGGCTGTACTGCACAGCTGTGGTTTTTCACCTGCCCAATGTTTATGCCCCTGTCTTTTGATAATAAGACTTAATTTGTCCTTTAGGGACCCACTCTTCGCCCTCACTCAGTCCCTGTGGTCCGACAGAGGCTGACATCACCCCCAGCTCTGGAGCACATGACTCCAGAACTGGCCAACCATGAGAGCCCATCCTTCAGCCCACAGCAATTGGTTGAGGGCTGAGCATATGACCTGATGATCATGCCCAGGACTTTTGTTGTGGTCACTGGAAAATAGGAGCTTTCTGGGAAGAGTGCTAAGCTGGTCGGATGCATGTCTGGAATTGTCAAGGCCCTTCACTCCACAGAGTGAAGTCAACTGAGAGAAAAGTACAGATAGTAATACATCATAGAATTGTATACTTGAAACCTGTGTAACTTTATTAACCCATGTAACCCCAATAAATTCAATTAAAAAAGCTGAACAAAGATGGAGGGAAATAGAGTGCTGATAACAGCATCTGAACACCAGGGTCCAACCACACCTGAACCCAGTGTATCAGTGGACTTCTTAGTATGTGAGTCATTGAATTCCCTGTTTTGCTTAAGGTAGTCTGAGCTGGGTCACTTGCATCCAAAAATGTTTTGACTAATACACTAGCCATTTTTATTTTTAAAATAGCTTGGTAAACATACAAAATAGGCACTGGCTTCCAGCTTGCCTTTCCCCCAGCAAGAGCCAGATTATTAAAGAAAAGAAACTCCCATCAGCTTCACTGGATAGGGTCCATTGATGGACATGGGCCTGAGGCCCACTTACCAGTCTCATGGCTACTTTGCACTCCTGAGCATTGCAGGTCCTTCCTGGTGCTGGGCTGCTGCTTGCTGAGTCATTGTGATTGTCCGCAAAGAGGTCGAGGACCACTGGGTGGTGGGGGTTCCGCTCATCGATAAGAACCAGGGGTGTGTGGTTCCAGATGGTGAAATTCAAGGCCTTGGTGGCATTGGTATGGGTTGACTCAGAAGCCACAATCCTCTCTAGAACTGCTTCCATCAGTTGATCCAGATCCTTCAGCAAATGCCTGACTTTAGAATATCTGGGTTGGGGAAAGTGCTGGTAAGTGGGGCAAGAGCAGCTGAGAGATAGGAACTGTAGCCTGGGATCCCCTCCAAATCCAGCACAGCTGCCAGCATGTCTGAGAAGAACACCCCGCCCAACCGCCCACCTCGCTACCCACCCAGCCATGTGTCCATGCACTGATCCACCCACCCACTCACTCTTTCATTCATTAAGTATTTAAAGAGTGCCCATTATGTGCCAGGCACTGTGATGGTAGAGAGGAGAAATTCACATTCTAGTGAGGAGAATGGTTATTGACTGTTTACCGTGTGCCAGGTGCTAGGTGCTTCCTATGCCTTATTTAATTTAATCTCTTCCACAGTTCTCTGATCATCTCCCCATAAAGATAAGGAAACCAAGGCTGAGGGAGTTGCTGTGATGTCCTGAGCTCACGGAGCTGAGCCTGGAACCTGGAAGTGATGGGCTTCAATGGGCATGCTGATTGTGTGTGGGCTGGAGTGGAGGGGGCTCTGCCATCATCCACCCAAGAGGGCATAGGAAATGCAGGGAAGAGGGGCAGGTTTGTGACCCTGGGGCCCTGATTTTCCAGCAGTGATTTTGGGAATAAGAACAAGTTCCAGGAGGAGAAGGTGGATGGGACTGTGGGGCTGGGCCTTCAGTATTGGCTCTCAGCCCCTGGAGGCTCCCAAATGGGAACTGGTGACCAGTTAGTCTGGCAGAAATGTGTCCATACCACGGAGTGTCCTGTGTGGGGGCCCCATACCCTGTGCCCCAGTCACTCCATGCCTAGTTGATTTAAGACCCTACCTGAGTGTGGTCGCCAGCATATGTCTAGCTCTGGCTAGAGGACTTCCTGTAGGAAAGAGTATTAAAACCTGGGCACAGGCCCAAGTTCTGGTATGCAAAGGGGTACAGCAGTCTCAGACACTGGCATTGCCTGTCCCCTGACCATTAAACTAGCCACCCAAATGCACACAGGAAGAGGAGGGTTCAGAAGGAGGTGGGCTATGGTGGTGAGGCCTTCTGTTACAGCCTACATGTCCACAGCTGCTGCTGAGCTTGGTGGCTTATTGCATGGACTTTGGGCTCAAATTCTGACATTCCACTTAATATCTGTGTGGCCTTGGGCAATTAAATCCCTCTAAGGCTCTGTTCTCTCATCTATAAAATCAGGATTAAAATATTTACCATAGAAGGCTGTTGGGAGGATTCAATGAGGTGATGCTTATAAAGCACTTGGAACAGTGCTATTTCACCATGATTGCTAAGGGTTCTATTGAGTAGCTGCAAGAATCCACCCAAACAGGCAAGAGACCTATTACTAGAAAGAGGGGATTTCTGATAACTGAAAATGTAATCGGGAAGTATGAATTCCCTTTTAGGACCTGCTTGTGAATAAGAATGTTCTCCATGACTCAGCCATGTTGGTCCTTCTTTCAATTCTTTAAAAAATTTATGTAATTGATTTTAGACAGAGAGAGACAGACAGACAAGCACTGATTTGTTGTTTCACTCACCCATGCACTCATTGGTTGATTCTTATATGTGCCCTGACCGGGATTCAGATGCAACCTTGGGCTGTAACAGGACGATGCTCTAACAAATTGAGCTATCGAGCCACGGTGGTCCTTCTTTCAATTCTTTGAATGCACCAAGGACTGTCTCACCCCAGGGCCTCTGCATATGCTGTGCCCTCCACTTGGAGTACCCTCTTCATCCCTGACTAGTTTGGCTAACTTGTAACTATTCTTCAAGGCACTCCTCTCTGATTGACCCCTTGCCTCTCCTCATCCTGGACTAGGTTGGGTCTCCTTGTGTGTCCCCTCTGTAGGTCTTGCCATCAGGTGGTTACACGGTGGCAGCTCTGGACTCAGATCAGGCCTGAGTTCAAATGCCACCATGGCCCCCTGTGTGTCTCTGAGCAACTTCCCTGGCTTCTCTGAATCTTCATTGCCTGACCTGTAAATTGGGGCTACTACAGGAGTGCTCATCTCTAATTGTGTGGATTAGAATTACATTGATTACCCAAGGACACTCAACACACTGCCTGGCATTCCATAAGCACTCAATGCATGTCTGCTGTATATATTTTTCATCATCACTTTGTAATTATTGGACTATTATAATTAATTTCGTATTTAAGAAAAAAATTAATGTCTGTTTTCTTTGGTAGGCTGTGAAGAGGGTAGGGAGTTTAATTCACTGATGTATTCCCAAGTGCCCATACACTGCCACATAATAGGTGCTCAAAAAACACCTATTGAATTGATAGCTAGGCACTGGTATGTCTAAAGGCAGGGAGTACGAGATACTTCTGAGGCTCTCTCTGAGCCTAAGGAGGTTTATGAATTTTTAATCATACTTGCTGCAGAGGTGGGAAAAAAAGAGGGAAACAAAGAGAAAAGGAACAGGGAGAGAAAGGAGAAAAAGAGGGGGGTAAAAAAAGAGAGAAAGAGAACGAAAAGGGAAGGGAGAAACAGAAAGCTGGAAGGAAGCACGGAATAAAGAAAGAGAAAGAAAAGAAACTGGGCTGAAGCCAGTTTTGCTCTCTAGGGACCACCTACTGGAAGGGGCTGGCATTGCAGATGGTGACCGCTGGGAAGTCCATGGTCTTGAAGCCCACAGAGAGGGAGACGCTGACCTCCCAGCTCAGATAGGTCCTGATGAAGACGCCCCACTGCCAGAAGACGATGGAGGCAAAGAGCAGGGTGATCACAAACCACATGGCCTTCTTCTTGGGCCCCTCGCAGATGATGCGCTTGGGGCCATGGGTGTTGGTGTTGTCACAGTACCACACCAGCAGTTCCTTATACGTGTAGCCCGGACCCTTCTGCAACCGGTGCAGGCACTTCAGCAGATACTTCTTCACCGGCATCATGGCACCTGCAGAGAGGCACAGGGATGCCATGTCAGATACGACACCAGACTTGAGTCTGAGGATGTCCCCGTTGCGGCCAGAACATCCTCATGAGACAGGCAGACCAAGTTGCACGTGGCAGTTGTCCCTCCCTCCCTCCCTTTTTTGCTACCTATCATCCATCCATCCATCCAAAAAGCATTTATTGAGTGCTTACTGTATGCCAGGCACTGAATCAGTCCCTCTGGATTCAATAACAAGCAAAATGAACACAGTTTCTGCCCTCTGGAAATTTTCAGCCTACTGGACAAGTTACTTAAACTCTGCACTCCTCAGGTTCTCTATCTGTAAAATGGGAATAATGGTACTTAATTTATAGGGCTGCTGAGAGGGTGAAATTTGGTAATGCATAAAAGTGCTCAATACAGTGCCTAGCACAAACTGAGTGCTCAATATGTTAGCTACCATCATTACAAGCTGTTAGCGAGTGGGGCAGATATGAACCAAATAAGACATCAAAAATGCGTTATCACCGAACGTGATCAGGATAGGGACCCTGTGCTATAAGGATCGGGGCGGTGTCAGTGGCAGTTAAGAACGAGGACTCTGGAGCTGAAATGTCTGGCTTTGAATGTGGCCCTGCCACTTTCTCGCTCTGACTTCGAGCAAATCGTTTGTTCAGTGCCTCAGTTTCCTCGTCTGTAAAATGGGGATAATAATAACCTCTCCCTCTTAGGGTTGTTGTGAAGGCAATGAAAATACAGAGTGTGGATTAATGCCTGGCCCCTACAACCTCCTCCCACACCCCAGTCCGAGAGTCCCTGGAGGAACTGGGAGTTGACAGCAAGATTAATGGGGTGAAAAAGAGTAGGGGGGCACTCAGGTAGAGAGAGTAGCAGGAGCAAAAGCTCTGAGGGGGAGGGAACGTAGGAAGGGAGCAGGGCCATGTGGGCCATGTTAAGAATTTGGGTTTCAATCCCAAGAGGACCGAGCCTTTGGAGGGTGAAGCCATTCAAAGTGCCTTCTGAAAACAGCCCTCTATCTGCTCTGTGGACACACTCTGGAATCAGGTCCGGAGTGCAGGGGCAGAGGGTGCTAGGTGTGGCTTGCTGAGGAATGTCTAACCTTTCTGAGACTGTTTCCCATCTGCATGAGGACACAGGATTCTTTGGAAGATTAACCAAGATACTGACAACTGGGAGCATGGTGGCTTCTCAGGAATACCTCTTCCTCCTCTCCCCAGATACAAAGCATGGATCTGTGGCAGGAGACCCCTGACCCCATCCCTAGAACCCCAGTTGGCCACATAGAGCTGTCTCAACTCCCTGGCTGAAATGACCCTTGCCCTCTCCAAAAGCCTCTGTCTTTCTGGGGGCACTGTGGTGGGCAGTGAGGTTTCTGCTTCCCAGCATCCTCTCCCCCTTATTCTAAGGTTCTCTCAGGTGAACTGCCCCTTCCCCAGTTGCAGTTGGTGTGAGTTGCCAGGTTGACCTCCACCCCAGTTTGGATGACTAGGACTCAATTCTTTTACATTATGCTGGAATAACTACAGAAGAGACTCCCTTTTAGCTAAGTGGAGAGACTGACTGAGAATGAAGCCAACACAGAGAAGCCACAAGATGGAGAGATTTCTCACATCATTGATACACCTGGATCCAGCCATTCCTGTAGTCATTTACTCCAGGACTCATCAGGTGTGGGAACCAAGAAATTCTTTCTTACTTTTGCTGATCCAAATTGGGTGTCTGTCATTTACGACTATTACAATCTTAACGAAAAAGAATTCACCTTGTTCTACCCTGTGTCATAGTTACTTTTGCTGGCAGCTTCTCACCCTTATGAGATCAGAAACCCTCTGAGGATAGCAGTGTCTCCAACAAGCCCAGCACAGTGTCTGGAATACCACCAAGTAGCCAAATGAATAATGCCAGAAATCTTAAACTTGCCCAAGCATGTTCACTCCTGACCTCATTTTCTGACCCAGCAACACCCCTCACCTTCCCAGTCAGTTCGCTAAACGCTTTCCCCTCCCATGCCAGTGTCTCTGCTCGCTGATGGAGATGGAGCTCCATGTGCCTGGCCAGGCCGTCATGACCATGAGACAACCGTTAACAGACTAACCCAACCCTCACCTTTCCCCAGAGGGCCCATTCCCTGATCTGGAATAATAAAGTAATAACAACAACAACAACAACAACAACAACAACTACAAGAGTAACATCAAAGTAGCATGTGTTTACCATGATCCAGGCACTGCAAGGTGCTTCAGATGTTATTTCAGTCTTAAACCTGGAGAGAACTGGGGCTGTGGTTGTCCTGTGTAGTGCAGAACCCCAAGGCACATTAGGCCGCAATACATAGTTGTGGAGGAAATAGACGAAGGGCTTCTCTGGTGTCTACTTTCTCCAGTTTCATGTAATCACTTTGTTTAAGTCAAGGAGGACTTCTCAGCTGACTCTAAGCAGGCCCTTAACACCTTTTAGACCTCCCTTAATCTCCCAGTTGAACAATGAGGCTTCAGGCCTAGAGCCTTATCAGGCAGCAGTATCTACTCAGAAGTAACAATATTCTGTTTTCCCTGGGTTTGTTTGTAAGTAGGATCATCTATTTATGTCAAGAGATACTGGCTTGCTAGCTCAGTTGCTTAGAGAAGTGTCCCAATACGCCAAGGCTGTGGGTTCTATCCCAGGTCAGGGTAAATACAAGAATCAACAAATGCATGTGTAAATGGGTGGGACAACAAATTGATCTCTCTCTCAAATCAGTGTTTAAAAAATTAAAAAAATAAAAGAGATACTGGCTTTTAGTTCAGGTACTTAAATACACACTTTTTAAAAAAGGAACATCTTCAGTAAATAATAGTAGAGCAGGCAGCAACAACTGTGACAATGACGGGTCAAAGTGTGTTGCTACCGGCTTCTATCCTAACTATAGTTTGGCTGCTGGGAGATCAGCCAAGAATCAATAAATGTTACAAACAATTTTATGTCAGATTCCATCCCCAAGGTGATAAATGGTCTGTGTTTGGAATGTATACACAGCTTGTGTAGAAAGTTTTAAGTCTGTTTACAGCTTAAACCAACCCAAACAAGTGAAGTGGAGATGGAGTTCCTGACATGGGTGCAGGGAGAGTGGACGCCGTCGTGCCTCAGAGAGTCCCCGATTATTGCCTACATCTTGGACCCCAGTAGCCTCAAACGATTCTGGCAGCAAGTTCAAAAATGACAAATGCTGTGTGCACCCGTTTCTGTTTTCTTCTAAGAGAAAAAGTCCACTCACTTTCGGAGAAAAATGTTCCCTGAGGTTGGACTCAGTCTCCAGGTGGAAGGGTAATTGGGAGCCCAGTGTGCGTCACTACGTATTTTGACCAAAGAGACGTAAATGTTATTCTTCTTATTATTGTCAGAAGAAGGTCAATTATTCTGAGTCTTCTGAATAAGAGGTTGCATGGGTGACTCAGGAGCTGTACTGGGTTTGCAAAAGGTTTTTTTTCCCCCTTAGTCCAGTATTATTTATTTATATTTAATTAATTAATTGATTTCTTTTAGCAACAGAGGAAGGGGGAGAGGGAGAGAGAAAAAAAATCATTGATGTGAGAGACAAACATCTACTGGTTGCCTTGTATGCTCCCTGACCTGGGACCGAACCCAAAACCCAGGATGTGCCCTGACAGGAAATTGTACCAGTGACCTTTTGCTTTGTAGGACAACACTCAACCGAGCCACACTGGTCAGCTCTCCTTAGCTCATTATTTTTTTTTAAATCCCTTTTTGAAATAACAGCTTTATCAATATATAGTTCACATATCATAGAACTCATCCATTTAAAGTGTAGAATTCAAAAAATATATATAAAGTCTAAAATTCAGTGGATTTCAGTATATCCACAGAGTTGTTCGGCTATTACCGCAATAAATTTTAAAACATTTTTGTCTCCCCCAGAAAGAAACTTTCCATCATCAGTCACTCCTCATTCTTCCCTGCACCCTCCCGCACCCTAAGCAACCAACCGCTAATCTATTTTCTGTCTGTAGATTTACCTATTTTGGACATTCCATGTAAATGAAACCGTATATTATGTGGTCCGTTGTGACTGTTTCCTTTCACTTAGGATGTTTTCAAGGTTCATCCATGTTGTAGCATGTATTAATATTTCATTCCTTTTATTGTAAAATATTCCCTATTATGGATATGTCACATTTTATTTATACATTCGTCTATTAATGGACACTTGGCTATTATGAATAATCCTTCTATACACATATTTGTACAAGTTTTGGTGTGGACATCTTTTCATTTCTCTTGGGTATATATCTAGGAGTAGATGTACCCATTGGATTATACAGTCATTCTATGTTTAACCTTTTGAAGAACTGCCACACTGTATTCCATGGTGGCTGTACGGTTTTACATTCCCACTAGCAGTGTATGAGAGTTCCAATTTCTCCACATCTTCTTCCAACCTTTCTATTAGCCATTAAAAAAATTATTATAGCAATCCTAATGGGTGTAAAGTGGTGGCTTATTCTGATTTTGATTTATACTTCTTGATGACTAATGTTGATATCTTTTTATGGGTTATTGGCCACTATAGTCATTATATGGCCAATAAATCTTTGGAGTAATATGTATTCAGAGTCTTTGCTCATATTTTAATTGGTTTATTTGTCTTTTTATTACTAAGTTCTAAGAGTTATTTATATATTCCATATAAGTTCTTTATTAGATATAGGATTTGCAAAAATGCTTATTCTGTGGGCTATATTTTTACTTTCTTGATGGTGTCCTTTGAAGCACAAAACTTTTAATACTGATAATACCTAATTTGTCTATATTTCTTTTGTTGTTTGTGCTTTAGTATGTCATATCCAAGAATCCTTTGCCTCATCCAAGGTCATAAAGACTTACTCCTATTATTTATTCTAAGAGTTTTATAATTTTAGCTCTTATATTTAGATCTTTGATCCAGTTTGAATTGAAAATCTGTGCAATGTTGGAGTAGGCAAAGATATTTAAGATAGGTCACT